GCCATCCACACCAGCCACAAAAATCTTAACATTGATAAAAGTAATATCTATAACAAAACTAAAAAGGACAACAAAAACGCCAACAACAACAACATCAACAACAACAACAACAACAACAACAACGTCATCATTGACAAAAACAACAACATTATCAACAACATCAACAACAACGTCATTATTGCCAAGAACAACAACAACGTCATCATTGACAAAAACAAAAACATCATCAACAATAATAACAACAACAACAACAACGTCATCAATGATAATAACAACAACAACAACAACAACGTCATCATTGACAAAAACAACAACATCATCAACAACAACAACATCAACAACAACATCATTATTGACAAAAACAACAACAACAACATCAACATCAACAGTGGCAACTCTATCAGGCATACATATTGTGTATTGCAGCTGTTGACGAGCGTACTGCTCATTTATGCTTTCACATATTTCAACAGGTTTCTTACGGATTTGCAACATTACTTTGAATCAAAACAAAGCGGAAACACAATTATTCGCGATGAAATTAAAAATTGTGGCTACTGTGGTGGGTGTAGTTCTTGTCGTTGTTGTCGTTGCTGCCATGGTGAATCTTGTTGCTGCTGCAGTAGTTGTTTCAATTGTTGTTGCGGTTTTGGCTGTTCAAGTGCTTCTGAGTTTGACTCAAGAAAAAACACGAAAAACATCGAAAAGTTGAATTACGAAGGCTTTGAATACAAACACTTTAGTAGCGACAACATGATCAATCTCATCAGCAGCGACCTCAACGGCCACAAAAACGTGAACAACTACAAAATCAATTCAACGCAACCTCCTTCACAGAACTCATTTCTTCTGACACCATTACATCACATACCAACATCATCACCACCATCACCATCATCACCACCATCATTACATCCCATAGCACCATCACCATCATATTTAACTCCAACATCATTAGCATCATCATCGGCGTTTTCATCACCATTATTATCTTCGTCGTCGTCGGCATTGTCGTCACCACTGCCATCACCTGCCCATTTTTTGGCGGCACCACTTCCAAGTATGGAGTCCTTGTACGTTGAAATGTGCTTCAGGGAGAACAACATCATCGAGGAAATTTGAACAATTACAAGATACAATACAACACACTTCAATACAATACAATACAATACAATACAACAATACTATACAATGCAGTACAGTACAATATGATATAATACAATACATTACACTACAATAGAGTACAATAAACTGCAGTACAATACAATGCAATACGATACGATACAATACGAGACAACACATTACAATACAATACAGTACAATACATTACAGTACAGTACAATACAACACAACACAATACAATACAATACAATGCAATGCAATACAATGCAATGCAATTCAATACAATACAATACATTGCATTACAAAACAATTCAATGCAGTATAATACAAAACAGTACAGTACAATACAATTGTATCATAGTGACATATTTTGTTATTTTTTATGTTTTAATTTAAATAATTTTGTTTTGCGTTATTGTGTTACTCTTATTCTATTTTTTATACTGTCAACTGTTTTGTTATTTTAAAGATTAAATTATTTTTTAAGAATTTTAAAATTAAAAATGCTATCAATTTAAATGGCCGACAAACAACATGTCCAATGTTTGAAAACGCAGAATCTTCTCAACTCATAAAGATGTCTCAATGAATTTTTTTAATAAAACTGGACAGATGTTTTCGTTTGTATTGTGTTTTATAACGAATTACTGTCGTTTCAGATTTATTTATTTATTTCAGATTTCAGAAACGCTTTGTCCTTATATAAATCAATGATCATCAATATAATTATTGTACAGTTAGTTCGTTGTGATAATGTCTTTTACATGTAGGTAGATGATGATTTTCGTCTCAGAAAAAAATTACTTGGGAGTTAAAATAGAGATACATTAAAAAAAATTTTATTTAAAAATATTTTAATTAATTAATTTATTTATTAACGAATAATTTATTTATTTATTAACCAATATTTAATTACGATAGCAATCAGCTAATGAGAATTGAAATCACTACAATCCAATCTTACCACACCTTAATAATGTTATCTAATGTTCGCAAGGATCTCTCGCTAACAAAGAAACATCTTCAAGTTCTCTATAGATGAAAAGGATCGTATATAAATTGTAAAAAAAATTAGCTACGCATAAATCTAAAAAAAGTATCCATTTCGTATTTTTAAAAATCGTCAAATAAAATGATTGATTAAGTGTTGTAACACGAAATAATAAATTTGGCTCATAACACCAGAACATTGTCTCTACTAGAATAAATTTAAATCCAATTTAGTTTGAATCTGTTGGAACTGTACCAAATGTAAGTAAGATAAAGAATAGCTAAGTGCATGTCTGTGTACCTACATTGGTTCATTGGAGTTCATTGGTTCATTCACACAAAATCTCTTTGCGTTGCGTTAATAAAATTGGACAGGCTCTTATTTTTAGTAGATATTTGCAGATCTGGATGGTCGTGAAAGCCGATTTTGTTGGTTTTTTTCTGCCCCCGTAAAATTTCAAAATTTATTTAAACATTTCCAAAACTTTGGCCCCTAGCCAAAGTTTTCTAGAGATCGGCCACTGTGTTTGCGACAATCTATAACAGTTGATATGATTAAAATAACCGATAGATTGATAGTTGTTTCAATGAATCTGTAATTATTACTTTACTATTGTTATAATGTTATTTTCCTCAGCCACTTTTGCTGGCATCTACCGGCAGTCCACCGGATTTTTGAAGTAGAGAGTTTTAGTTTCTTGTTGTTTGTTTGAGGGCAGTACCTAGTAGGGCTATCTTCTGCATTTGTGCAACACTTTCCTTTCCAGGCAGTTCATCGAGATATTTCTGCAGCCCTTGACGTACTCTTACCAATGCACCGACTACTATTGAGATCACGCGGGTTTTTGTGTTCCGCATACAATTTATATTTGCTTAGTTTTTCAACTCCCTTTGTAGAAAAATTCGTGCCATTGGGGACAACAACATCGATAAACAAATATATAGATAAATAAATAAATATAAATGAATAATGGGCTTAAACGTAAGTTATATATGCCCATCAAAATAGCACTAAAAGACAACAAAAAGCTATCAATCAACAATGTCAATTTTATGGTCATAGAGAAAATTTTTATTGGCCATATATAAGTCAAAATTCTTCAAAAGTCAGAATATATGAATCCAGTCTAAATGACACAACAACTTTTTGGGCAATTCCATAATTCCTTCATTGGGTATATTTTAAAAATAATGTGTCAAAAAACACTCCCTACTAAAATTATGAAATAAATACATACATATATATAAATAATAACATGTATATATATACTCTATAGGTATGAATAAATAGTATTGTTTTAATTTTCAGCCCTTGAAAGACGACTTAAACAGCAAGAACAGATTCAACATGGAGAAAAAAAATTTTCTTACGTAGCTCAAATTTTAAGACATACAACATCCGAAATTAACATAAAGACCATTCATTTCAATCAGTATTTTTATGATCGGCCACAAACAGATTCCATTTCAAAATATTGATAAAAAAAGCGCTACGGAAATACTTTTATATAAATAAAAAAGATATAGTATTCAATATATGTAAGGATAAACTGATTAATTTATAATATCAATGTTTTATCAATTGTTTTTCAATATTTATTTATTTATTTAAATAAATAAAAAATAAATAAATACGAAAAACAATTTATAAAACATTGATATCATTAATTAATCAATCTATCCATTCATCCACCGCTCAAAACCAACGTTTATCCAAACACGCACACATACAATCATGCATATATACACACAAACATACAAACAAATATACATGCATGCATGCACATACATGAACACATACAAACAAACGCATATTCATATACACACATATAGACATACATACAAACATATACAAACATACACACATACACACACACATACATACAAACATACACATACATACACACATACAAACACACATACAAAGCGCCAGCAACAAACAATCTTATAAGAGAGCAAATAAAATGATAACAATACGCTAGATAACAACAAGAGGACGGAACAAAAAAAAACAAAAATACCAAAGATCAAAATTAATCAACGACAACAATATAAGTCGGCCGTGTCTACGTACAATATATAATATATATGTATGTATGTGTACGTGTATGTGTTTGTGTGTGTGTGTGTGTGTGCGTTGTGTGTGTGTGTGTTTAAATACACACTCGTGCGCATATGCTTGCAATGTTGACAAAGATAAAATAATTCTCAGTTGGCAAAGAATAAAAAACAATATTTTTCTTGCCTCGAGTGTTGATACTCAAGTCAAGGAAATATGACCATTACTACCAATACTACGTCTTATAGTTATTCTCAGTTATGTAAGCATTGTTACTGCTAACACTACTTCTACTACTACTACTACTACTACTACTACTACTACTACTACTACTTCTACTACTAGTACTACTACTACTAGTAGTAGTAAAAGTACTAGTAATAGTACAACTACTACGACTGCAGTGAGTGCCACTTCTGATTCTACTAATACTATTGCTTTTAATTTAATACTACCGTATTACTAAAATTTTGGTACTGTGGCCCCTGTGGCTACTGCAATTCTTTCCACAATAGTATTTTTTTTTCGTGATTATTACCGTATATAAATTAATAACTACTAATAAATGAATAATAGATAACAATAACAATAATAGTAGTGTTAATTATAATAACAATAATAATAATAATAATAATAATAATTTGTTATTATTATTTTTATCATCGGCATCGTCTCCAGCTATTGCTAATTAATCCCAGCTTTGAGAGCTATAAAAACATTTGCATCGTTTAATAACAACAATAGTAAAAAAGATTATTTCTGCTTATTATCTTTATTTTCTTCAAAATTGAATTAATTTTTATTCTTTTTTTTTATTCGCCATTCATTTCTTCGTTTAAACGTTTGTTTGTTCGTCCGTTCATTTGTTTATTGGTTTGCTCTCTCTTTCATTTGTCCGTTTATTTTATTATTCAGTCATTCTTTCATTCGTTCTTTCTTTCATTCATTCCGATGTTAGCCACGCAGCGATCGCTTTTTTAATCAGTAAGATGAACTTTATATTCGCCTCTTCACGCTCCATTTAACGTTCTGGGCTGCCATTCACTCTCACACACTTTCCTTCCCTCCCTCTCTCTCTCTTTCTCTTTCTTTCTCTCTCTCTCTCTCTCTCTCTCTCTTTCTTTCCTATTCTCTAATTTTTTTCATTTCATCTAGAACTGCTGCTAGCTTTTTATCTTTCTATTTATCTTATTCTTTCTTTATTCATTTCTACTTTGGTCTTTGTCTCCATTTCTCTTCCATTTTTTTCTCTCGTCATCATCATTACGTCTTCATCTTTTCATCATCATATTCTTTCTCATCATCATCATCGCACCATCATCATCATCCTCTCCATAGTTACATTCATTTCATAATCTTATATGACCAACCACTAAAGCCGGCTCATTCGTTATCACTTATATCATATTTTGTATCACATCTTTCTCACTGCATCACTCATCAGCATCTTCATCACTGCATCACTCATCAGCATCTTCATCGCTGCATCGCTCATCAGCATCTTCATCGCTGCATCACTCATCAGCATCTTCATAACACTTTTAAACTGAAATCACTCAGATTCTTATCGACCCGCCAACAGTTATATGGCAGTCAGCTTCATCATTACCATTATTGTTGTCAACATCGCTTCATCTATCATCGTCAACATCATTACAATGACCACCACCATCACTATCATCATCACCATCACCATAATCATGGACCATCAAAATTATCGCTTTATCATCAACAGCGTCAACAACATCATCTCAGTGACCATCATCGTCATCATCATCTTAGTGATCATCGTCATCATCATCTTAGTGATCATCCTCATCATCATCCTCCTCATCATAATAATCATCATTATCATAATCATCATCATGATCATCATCATGATGACCAGTGTAAACACAATATTAATGTTTATTGTGGTCCGACCACGTTGACTGACCACTTAATGCAATTG